GTATTGTATTCGGGCGAATAGTAGACATTTAAATGTACAAAATGAAATCTGGCGTATTCTAATCGGGCGAATAGTAGACTTATAAATGTAGAAGATGGATTCTGGCGTATTGTATTCGGGCGAATAGTAGACTTTTAAATGCATAAGATGGCTTCTGGTGTAATTTATTCGGCGAATATTAGACTTATAAATGTACAAGATGGATTCTGGCATATTGTATTCTGGCGAATAGTACACTTTTAAATGTACAAGACGGATTCTGGCGTATTGTATTTGGAAGAATAGTAGACTTATAATTGTACTAGATGGATTCTGGCGTATTGTATTCGGGAGAATAGTAGACTTATAAATGTACAAGATGGATTCTGGCGTATTTTAACAGGGTGAATAGTAGACATATAAATGTACAAGATGGATTCGGGTGTTTTTTATTCGGGCGAATAGTAGGTTAGAAATGTACAAGATGGATTTTGGCGTATTTTACTCGGGCGAATAGTAAACATATAAATGTACAAGATGGATTCTGGCGTATTTTAATCGGGCGAATTGTAGACATATAAATGTACAAGATGAATTCTGGCGTATTGTATTCGGGCGAATAGTAGACTTATAAATGTACAAGACGGATTCTGGCGTATTGTATTCCACGATACGGAACCAGCACTCTTCGCAATAGACCAAGCAGTTTATTTAATCTAATAGCTCCACATCATGTCAGTAGAAAACTAGGAACCAATGAGTTGCCGTCCTGGAGGCTAGCATCAGCCATGCTGATAAAGGGCAATGATGTTTTTTTTTTGATGATCAAAAGAGAGCTGTTGCGTTTTGTAGGTGTTAAAATTTACAAACCATTTTAACAACAGACAGGAGGTAAATTTCAAGAGCAGTTGCCAGATTTATTTTGTGCAAACTATGGGACTTACTATTAAGACAGGAGACAATAATTAAACAACAAATTAATCAAGACCCCATAGAGTGTTTCCATGTTTTAAAAATGTCATATATTACCAAAGAAAAATTTTAGGTAAATCATACTGATGAATCCTTCTAAATATTTCCACTGAAAATAAGATACTATTTACTATACGAATATCAAGTTAGTTTTATTCCAGTAGATTAATGTTTGATATCTGTAAATATGTACTTTTTTTTTCGTATTTTAGTTGTTGGTGTAGGTTGGTTGTAGATGAGAGACGTACACGCTTCATCAGGGTGTTGGAATTGATATCTGAAAAGAAAAACATAAAAACATGATCATTTTAATGGTCGGGTTTTTCTTGAGATCTGCATGTTCTATCCTATTTAGAGAACTATGTTTTTCGTCGTATGAACACTCGGGCGTTCAGGAATTCAGTTCTGTTTCTTGTTGTTTCTCTTGAAAGCTGGATGATAATAGTTTTGCTTATTACAAGTTGTCGACAATAATAATAATAATAATAATAATAATAATAATAATAATAATGATTCCACTTGTAACCGGGGCCTTCGGATTGACTGGAAACTGTTCCGATAGACTCATTAAAGGGATTTTTAGTAGCCCATCCCTTAAAGAAATACAAAAAAAAAAAAAAAATTGTACTCACAAGTACAGCTCACACATTACGACGAGCTTTATCTATGTAAAATGTATGTGATCTTAGGGATTTTTCATAAAAATGATCAGTGGTAAAAAATCATTACGGCATTTCTGACATTTGGTCTTTTTCCCGGATGGAAACGCGCATTAAACTGAAATAAAAGGAAATAATAATAATAATAATAATAATAATAATAATAATAATAATAATAATAATGCCATTTCTGGCCTTAAGTCTCTGGTTGGGACACGTAAGGAAATGAGTATACAACAGAAATCAAAGGAAATAATAATAATAATAATAATAATAATTCAGTGTTTTACAATGTTAAACAATATTTCAACAAAATGTCTGTCTTCTTCAAGTTATATTTAAACAAATTTTTCAAGTATAAAAATATCTAAATCTACAAAAAATTTATAAGTCTTTGTAATGAAAAACGGTTGCATTGGTAATGAGCGCGTCAAAACGAATAAAACACTGTCCGCATGAAGGCATGCAACTGAAACATGCCTAATATGATGGTAATGCAATTCATCTTGAATTTTTCCTTTTGTTGGTTAGTTACTATGAGGAATTAATTAAACAGATTTGTATAAATCTTATGAATTTCTCATGTCATTCTCTTTATTCCCCCAATGGCCGGAAAGTTAATAATTTGCTTGCGTAACCATTCTCATACATTTTAATGGTCGACAGGTTGGCAGATTGTGAATATTTTTTCAGAATGCGCACTTTAAGATGTGTATCGAAATTACAGTCGTTAGTAATAAAATGTTCAGCAAGTTTCGTTGAGGTCACATTATTGTGTTTGACATCATACCTGTGTCAATTGAATATTTTAGTTAGGATTTATAATTTTTTTTTAATAATTATAAATATTAATAATAATAGTAATAGTTATTATTATTATTATTATCGTCATCATCATCATAAAGATTATTATTGTTATTGATTCTTGTTGATCTTACATCTGAACTTTATTGATTCCAGTATAAACTGGAAGTAAAGAGTACTTTTTCCGACGATTTTGAGCAATCAATTTTCTTAGCCTCTTTTATGGAGATATTATCCCATCAATTAGGCTACAAGGTCAAAAGTTGAGGTTCAGATGACAACCATCCACTATAAACGTCCCCCACTGCAGACTAATCTTTTAAATATCCCCGCAACCACTCACAACTTATCTGTTTGTTTGTTTTTAAACTACAAACGACAAACACACAGTTTTCTTACATGTAAATGATTTAGATTGTTTACCGAAAATATTATGAAGCATATGTCAGGTAAATATTTACGTTTTACGGTGAATAATGATCAAATTATCAAAAAAATCAAAAAAAATCTGTGCATTATAAACGAATCCTAACTGTTGTTACCATGATTTGGTTATGAAAAATATTTTGTGAGAATGGGCTAAAATGAACCTTATATATCCTATAAGCAAACCTCGGAAATTAATATTTTTTACGCACATTTTCGTGCTGTGTCAATAATCTTAAAATGTATATCTGCTTAGTTTTTATATTCCCTATAAACAAAGAAAAGAGTACTGAACTGAAATAAGTCCTCGCGTATGGCAGTGAATGCCTGACAATCTCCTCACAGATAAAGAAGTGACTTGAGGCAAGAGAAATGTGGTTCTACAGAAGGATGCTGAGAATACCGTGAATCGAATATGTAATTAACGACGAAGTTTTAGAGAAAATGCAGACAAAATGGATGAATCGATGCCCACTCGTATCTAAAGATGCCCGTCTACTAGGGCGTCTAGCTAATCCCTTTTGCAGGCACCTGCTCATACACATTTGTGTCTGCTCAACACGCATAGAGCCCACCTGTGGTTTATACCGCAACTATGCTGAGCAGACCTTAGTTACAGTTTCTGGGAGAAAGCACGTTATCTAGCGTGATCAACAGTCTGAACAAGGCCAGCACTCGCAAATCTTCGTCCATTTATACTTTACATCAAGGAGGAGGGATAGTGCGATGGTTAACGGCTAGGATTGCCGAGTTCGAATCGTCGTGTTTATTATATTCGCTTACCTGCACATATTCTTGGAAAACGTATAAATCAATCTCTTCTTTATGGGGAAAAAACGACATGAGATACAGAGTGATATAGCCTTGGTTGGCATCTAGTCTAGTAGAAGGAAATACTGAATTGAAATCGGATCGCACTTTCTTAAAGGTGCGTATCCATGTGGCTGGGGACCGCAAGTGAATCCAAATTCCTACTGAAAATCCGACTATAGATTTGCGCATCCGAATAAATACTACCTCTGCTAGGTTTGGCCAGCTTTCGTTCGTATGTGGCGTCAAAAGGAGCCCAATGTTCAGTGGTGAACGAGAGGAACTAACTATAATTGCATCAGGAATAGACAAGGGAAATTTCTAAGACACGTAATGAGGAAAAATGGTTTAGAAAATTTGATACTCACAGGATATATTGCAAGCAAGTGGAAAAAAAGGGAAACAAAGAATAACCTACATAACGAACTTAAGTAAATGGATGACAGAACATGGTTTAGGAGAAATAATAAAAGACAAAATTTATTAAGAGCTAAAAAGGACAGGAAACGGTGGAGCGTCATATTCACTAACGCCATAAAGAGGCATGGCACGTAGAAGAAGAAGAAGAGGAAGAGATTAATCTGTGTTTTCTATCAACAGCATTAGTTGCTCTCGAACTCATGAAAACAGGATTTCAATACTACTTTTACGTTTCGTAGATTCAGGAAGAGATGCAACACTTTTCGAATTGGCCTTATCTCAGACGAAGATGAGCTTTCTAATTTACAACAATAAAAGCTCGATCAGATTCTTCTATATTTCCCACCAACGTTAATGGTTCTTTTTTTTTTGATCCCAGAAAAAAGAATTCGCATGCTATCTTGTAAGCACACTGTAATACAATCATCTTACACTCGTTCACGATGATCTAGCTTTGTGCTGGACTTATCCCTGCTTAGTAAAGATCTCTAACATAAAAAACAGCAGCAGAAATAAATACGTTCTAAAAGAAGGACAATAGAAAACAAAAAAAAGATTAAATCTGATAGCAATGGGAACAGTCTTGGCGCTAGTAAGAGTTACCTAGAAGAAAAAAGAAAGGAAAGTGGAAAACGAATGTTTCTATGAAAAGAAATGTTAGATGAAATGGCCTGAAAGATAGGCAGTGATGACTCGTACGAAGACTAAGTGAATGGACAGAGGAACTGCCATGACGAGAATGCAAGGGTTCAAACTAAAAAGAACTAAACATGGGAATAAAGAAAAATAAAAAGGCATAAAAATGAAAAGAAAAAAAAAACTAAATTGAAAACGACAAGAATGGATGATGGGGTTGTTGGCGATATGACAAAAAAATCAATGTGGATTATGCAGTATTGGCCGCTTGTGGCATTGACTGTCAATGCCTGTTCAAATGACAAGAGAAAATGGAAAGACGTAGTAAAATGAAAAAAAAGGAGAAGAGAGAGAGAGAGAGAGAGAGAGAAAAAAAAAGGCAGTGGTGCAAGCTGAAAGAAAAAGAAAGAAATGAAGAAGACGAGGATAAAAATTACGGGAATAAAGGAAGTAGAAAATAAAGGAAGAGAAAAGAAGAATGAAAAGGTAAAAGACGATGAGGAGGAGAAAAAAGAAAAAAATAAGAAAAGAAGGAAAGAAAAGGTGCGGACGAAGATGAGGAGAGCATAAAGAAAGGAAAAAGGATAAAAAGAAGAATAGAGCAGAAAAGACGTCGTGAAAAAGAATAATAGATAAGAGAAGAGAAATGAGTAAAATGAATGAAAACGAAAAAAAAAAGAAGTGGAAAAAGAAGGAAAGACTAGTAAAGGAGCAAAAGAAAGAAAGAAGAGAACAATAAAGGAAGGCGAGAAAGAAAAAGAAAGAGATAAAAAGAAAGGATATTAGGGAAAAACGAAAGGAGCAAAGAATAAAAGCGGGAGAAAAAAATAAGGAAGAGGAAAAAAGGAAGGAAAAGGAGAAAAAGGAAAGAAGTGAAGTAAGGAAGAGGAGGAGGAAAGAAAATAAAATAAGAGCGAAAATTCGAGGCACGGGACAGAATAGAATAGAAAAGGAAAAAGGAAAGGAGACGGGAAGAAGATGAAAAGTCGAGACAGGGAATGAATAGAGGACAATGCTGCAGGATTAATTTGAGAAAAAAAAAGAAGAAAGATGTGATGTCAGAGAAGCGAAATTTGTAAGCGGAGGAGGGGGGAAAAGGAGAGTAAAACCTATGGCGGCAAGTTGCGGAAGAAACGCCTGAAGACAGAATGTTAGACGAAAATAATTATATACACGCTAAAGAAGCAGAAAACGAAGAGAAATATATGAGACGGATTTGGAAGAGAAACAGAAAAAAACTGAAATGAACGAAGACATAGAAAAGCGACGTGTAAAAAAACGATACGGAAGAATATAGAAGATTCGATGTATAAAAGTACTTTTATAATGATAATAATAATAATAATAATAATAATAATAATAAGAAGAAGAAGAAGAAGAAGAAGAAGAAGAAGACGAAGAAGAAGACGAAGAAATATACAGGCGATGAAAACAATCAAAAGAACGTGCAGTAAAAGAAGAAACGATATTCGGCTTGGTGCCAGGGTCCGGTGATTGCCAAAGCAATGCTATATTTCAT